CGCTCCGTCCGTTAATATATCGGGCAAACTGAATCGAGCCGCGTAACGCGACTCCTTTCTTCCGCGACACAGTTCCGTCTTTTTCTCTTTTATTTCCCTGATTATTGGAATTTTAATACTGTTTCTTTCTGTGTGTCTGTGTGTGTGTCTCTTTTTAGGTTCGCCGGCTATATTTCTGCGATGGCTACTGGATTTTAATTTTATTTTCTGTGTATGTGTGTTTGAAGGTTCATTGATAAATGGAGTTGATGTTTTTATAATGATTTTTCAGGATGAATTTACACGTTTTTTTTCAGGGTTTCCGTTTGGTTTCCATAGGTTCTTTCCGGTGGTTTATTTATTGCCGATTGGAGTTTCCGAGCGTGGTAACGGTCGCAAACTATGGCGGCCGCAGGATGGTTCATTAGGTTGCAGTGAAATTAGCAACATGAGTACCACCGGTATTGTTTTGGCCAACAAGAATTTACGGAAACCGAGTTTAACCGACGTCGGTGTTAATCGACAATATTGATCGACTCCGCTTCCGAAATACCGCCGCAACGGTTTTAATTGCATTCGCAATTACCTTGTTCCTTTATCCGATTTTCAAGGTAACTTTGTTCTCGGCGGGATTTTATCGATCACGCGGGGGAACTCAATTAATTTCTTTTTTCGAACAATTCCGGCGTTTCCATCGAGCGATTCACTCGCGTTTTCTATAAATTCCGACCATATTTTTAATCTTCGTTTAATCTCCGACTCTAAACTCCTCGCGAACCTCGCGTTCCTCTATAAATATCTCAAAAACCGATTCAATCACTTCGATTCACTCTCAAAAATACTCAATCCCGACACATTCAATTCAATCTCAAAACCACTCGAACCGGGCGGCATTCAATTATTTTTTAAAAACATCTAAATAATTCAGCGTCTAATTAATCCCAGAAAACCCAATCCTAGCACATTCAATTCAATCTGAAAACCACTCAAACCTCGCGGCATTCAATTATTTTTTAAAAACATCTAAATATCCCAGCGTCTAATTAATCCCAGAAAACCCAATCTTCATGCATT